AAAGGCCCAAGACAGACGAAAATCGCCCGGTTTGTGCCAACGGCGGCCGGCCTTTGGTCCCCAAGCTTATTTTCGCATCCAAAGCTGAAAAATCTGATCCGGAGCAAGAAAGGACGAAAGCCGCCCGGCTTTCGTGAACACCGGCCGACTTTTGGTCGCCGAAGGAATTGTTCAGAATTTAATTACAAAAGCCGCCCGGCTTTTGTAAATGGCGGCCGGTTTTCGACCCCTGGAGCGGAGGAGCAGCATTTTAAACGCGCAAAAGCCGCCCGGCTTTTGCGAAAGTCGCCCGCCTTTCGTCTGGAATTGATTAAAACAAGCAACGGTCATCACAATCATTCGAGAGAAGCTCCAAATCCAATTAAGGAGCTTGCTTCCTTGTCTAAAAATGGCCATTGAAGACCCAATATTTAAGCATATGGAAGCCCTCTCAAGTGATTATTCCATATTCCATACACTTTACTTCCATTTTAGCACTCCAAGATCAACCCCTTGGTCTTGGGAGAAGTTCTACACTTGGGGATCCCATTATCCACCATAGCTTTGGAGTTGTGGTATTATCTTCTTATGTATTTCATTGTATTTCATCAATTCAATACTTGTAATTTCATTATGAGTTGCTCTAGCTAATTTTCCATAGCCAAGGTTAGGGATGAAACTTTACGCACTCTAGGTGTTTGATGTATGTTCTCAACCAAATTATTATGATCTCTCCTTTATATTTTAATGTGTATGACTACGGTGTACAACGTATGATTATATCGTTGGGTTTATTTGAGCAATTAACGTTGAGTTATAAACCGTGCACTTAAAGGCTAGACATATTCTAATTGTGGATAGAAATATACCTCAATTGAATATGGTGGTTGTAATAATGTCCTAATCTTCAATGGGGTTAATTTTAGATGAATGTGAACCGTGACGGGATTCACACGTAGAATTAATCACAATCTCGCTGCCGTAACAGGAGTTAGAATACTTTAGCGACATTCCACTCATAAGAATTGGTGAAAGAATATACATTAATCGCTAGGAGTCGTTTAGGAGTAATCCCGAACCCTTGGTTGCTTTTATTATCACTTGAAAACCCAAAAATCTTTACTCTTTTACCAAGTCTTTTACAAATTATATTCTCAATTTTTGAATCATATAAACAACGTTTCCTCGTGTTCGACTCGGTATTTTTACCGGATTTTATTACTACATCGGCACTTGTACACTTGCAAGTTTAAGCCGATCAAGTTTTTGGCGCCGTTGCCGGGGAAACGGTCTTGTTTATTTGATTCAACAAAAATTCCTGAATTTTCCCTTTACGTTTCACTTGGTTTTGTTTTGAATTTTGTTGTGTAGACAAGCTCTTAGTGCATGCTATTGAGAAGTCAAGGCTCTACAAACCTTGAACCTATCAATCTTGAGATTGAGAGAGCTTGTAGAAGGAATCGGAAGGAGAAGGAAGCAAGAGTACCAACAATGCTTCCCACACTCAATGAACGGAAGAGGCCCGTTATCGCCACCACTCCTTCTTGCATCGTTCTTAGCGAGGCGGCACGGGACTATGAGTTGCGGAATAGCTACTTCAATGCTATGCCGCACTTCTATGGACAACCGGGAGAGAATCCATTAAATTTCATTACCGAATTTTATGGGTTCATTCAAGGTGTGCCTAGGAATGGGCTAAGTGAAGGTGATCTAAGGCTCAAGTGCTTCCCTTACACCTTGAAGGGAGCGGCTAGAGGGTGGTTTCTAGAGCAAACACCGGCATCCTATGCTACTTGGGATGAAATATACAATGTTTTCATCTCCAAGTACTACACTCCCACAATGACGCAAGAGCTACGACAACGAATCTTCAACTTCAAACAACAAGTTGGAGAACTTTTTCAAGATGCATGGAGGCGTTTCAAGTCTTTGTTGAAGGAATGCCCTCATCACTGCATCCCTCTTGACCTTCAAATAGACACTTTTTACAATGGCTTGAACCCATCTTGTCAAGCTATTGTAGACAACCGAGCGGAGGGGTACATTGGAAACAAAACGGAGACGGAAGCTTTGAGGATTCTTGAATCTATTGCTTCAAATCCTCAACTTCAAGGAGGAGACATCAAGGTGGCGGGGGTGAATGAGATTTCTATAACGCATGAACTAGACAAAAGGTTTGAAGAGTTTCAAACCAAAATGCAACAAAATCTACAAGCATCAATTCACACGGCTTTACAAGCCGTTATTGGAGGGGCTCAACAAGTGGCAAATGTGGAGAGTGTCTCCAATGTGGAAGGTAACTCATCTCAACATCTTGAGGATGTTAGTTACATGAACTCTTATGGGCAACGAGGAAACCAAGGAGGAAATAACTTCTCCAACAATCAACAAAGGTATAATCAAGGAAACAATTATAGACCGCAAGGTAATCCTGCAAGCCATCAACCCGGAGTTCCTACATTTGGCCAATCCAAAGAACCTACCATGGAGGAGATGATGAAGCTTCTCACAAAGAATGTAGCCGCTATGCAAGCCCAAAGTGAGGAGAACCATTGTAGAGTGGAGTCATCTATCAAGAATCTTCACACACAATTTACAAAACTTGATTCACGTTTCGAGGATCAAAATAGGAGGCTCAATCAACGCATGGACAGTCTTGAGCAATATACCAAGTCCTCTATTCACAACTTAGAGGTCCAAATTGGCCAACTTGCACAAGAGAGAACCACTAGAGAACATGGAAGATTTCCCACAACAACGGAAGTCAACCCAAGAGAAACGGCTATGGCTATCACTTTGAGAAGTGGTAAGGAAACGAAGGGGCCGGTTACTCAAGATGCACCAATGGAGAAGCAAGGAGAGGAAGGGCTAGAGGAGCATGTCTCATCACCACCACCCATGGCAACATATGTTCCCCCTATCCCTTACCCTCAAAAGTTGAAGAAGAAAGATGACAAAAAGCAATTCAAGAAGTTCCTAGACATCTTCGCCAAGTTGAGCATCAACATCCCTTTCATCGAGGCTATAGCGGAGATACCCTCATATGCAAAATTCCTGAAAAATATCCTCAACAACAAGAAGAAGTTGGCTGATTTTGCAACCATACCGCTCACGGAGGAATGTAGTGCCATTCTCCAAAATAAGCTACCGCCAAAGATGAAGGATCCCGGGAGTTTCACCATTCCTTGTTCTATTGGGAGTCTAAGAGAAGTAAGATCCCTTTGTGATCTTGGAGCTAGCATCAACCTAATGCCACTCTCTCTATTCAAGAAGCTAAGTGTGGGGGAGCCTACACCTACAACAATAGCTCTTCAATTGGCGGATAGAACAATCCGTTATCCTATCGGAGTGGTGGAAGATGTTCTTGTAAAGGTTGGCAAATTCTATCTCCCCATTGACTTTCTTATTCTAGAAATGGATGAAATGGAGATTCCGGTTATTCTTGGAAGGTCCTTTTTAGCCACGGCGGGTGCTCTTATTGATGTTAAGAACGGAATAGTAAAAGTCCGTATTGGAGAAGAAGAACAAGAGTTTCACGTTTGGGAATCATTGAAGAATCCACCTATCAACTCCACATGTTTTAGTGTCAACTCCACATTTGATACTACACCGCAAAGTACTCCGAAGCATGAATCACATAAAGACCCTCCTATCTACAAGGAGAAATTTGAGACACGGCATGACAAGAAGAAAGGTGAAATAGAACTTCAAGTTGGGCATAAAGTTCTTCTTTATGACTCACAGTCCCGATTATTGCCCGAAAACTTGGAACCTCATTGGTCGGAACCATTCACTATCATCGAGGTTCAACCATTTGGAGAGATGGTGATCCAACAAGGGGAAAATAACCCTTTTGCCGTCAATAGCCATCATTTGAAGCTGCACAAAGAGTACTATACAACTTCCTATCCATTCAAGAAATGATCACGAAGAACGTCCGGCCAATGACGTTAAAGAAGGCGCTTGTTGGGAGGCAACCCAATTTCATATCCTTTTTATTTACATGTTTGTCTTTCATTATGCTTTTATACTCTTATTACTTGTGGACGATGCAATTCAAGTGTAGGGGGAGAAGCAAAGCAAAGAAATGTGAAGTTTCAAGGCAAATTTTGAACAAAGTGGGCGGAATTAGCAAAGGCATCGAAACCCGCCCGGCTTTCGCGAAAGCCGCCCGGCATTTGGTCGCCGTAGGTTAAATCCATTTATTTAAATCGAAAACCGCCCGGTTTTCCCGAAACCCGCCCGACTTTCAGGTCTGCTTCCCAGGTATTTTTCTCGCACACGAAACCCGCCCGGTTTTCGGGATTGTCGCCCAGCTTTTGGGCGCCGAAGGTAATTCCAGATTATTTAAATCGAAAGTCGCCCGACGTTCGCGTAAGCCGCCCGTCTTACGGGTTCTGGGAACAATCTGTTTAACCGAAAGCCGCCCGGCTTTAGCATATGTCGCCCGGCTTTCGGGGACGAATGTTTTATTACCTGTTCTGTTTAAACACAAACACACGCACACAACGCCCAAAAGACGCCTGGCGAACGAGAGAGCTCGAACGACAACCCCCATTCTTCACGTCTCTTCTCCTCTTTCAAGCTCAAAACAGGTATTTCTCCATCTCCTTCACTTCTTAAACTCAATTTCATAGCTTTTTCTTCATTTAATCGATAGAATTGGTTGTTCTTCCCAAATTTCGAATTTTAGGGTTTATGCAAATTGATAGCTTTTAGGCCTAATTCATTGCATGATATCTTGTTCTTGTTGCCTATATTGCTTGTATGAACCATTTCAACCTCTTTTCAAGTAGTTATTTTCAACAATTTGACATTTTTGCTATTTGGTCAAAATTGGGGGCTTAGGGTTCGAAATTCTTGTTCAAATTTAGGGATTTTCAATTTGAATTCTTGTGATTAATTGTTGTTGAGTAAAGTTGTGATTATGTTGTCATGTTAAATTGTGATTAAAGTCAATTTTTAGGGAAAACTTTGTCAAATTTTTAAGAAAATTGACTAGAATTGTTTGAGTTTGTAGGTTCAAATGGCTCCAAAGGGGAAGTCCGTTAGCACCGAGGCTGGCCCGAGCAATCCCAAGCGGGCAAGGAACAACAAGGCACCCGCGGCCTCCTCCACCATCTTGCCTTCTAGCCGGTTTGTCAACACCAAGTGCTATGAACGGTACTTGGAATCTAGGGACAACGATTTCGTTGTTGAGAAGACGGTGTCACAACCTATTGACCACGAGTACCGGCTCACCGAGGCCTTCGCTAATATCGATTGGGAGCCGGTGCTACATCTTGACGGCACCTTCTACCCGGAGCTCGTCAAGGAATTTTTCGCAAATATTGAGGGAAATGGCCCCCAAAAGATGATTGAGAGTCGGGTCAAAGGGGTAAAAATCACTATCACAAATGACCTATTGAGATCTCAGTTTCACATCACCAACCACGGCATTCCTTTCGCCCCTTCCCAAGCCGGAGCAATGAATAGCGACGTTAGCTACAACCCCTTGGATGCGATGCAATATTTCGGCTTGCAAGGACACGAGCTTATGACCAAGAACCTTGGTCAATCACACATCCGGGCCCGGCTTTTGATGTACCTCTACTCATTCAACGTCATGCCGAGAGCAAGTGGGTACAACAAAATTCGAAACGCCGACCTCTACTTCGCGTATAGGATGCTTGCCGGGCTTGGACGTTGTGAGGGGATTCCTCTATCAAGCATCATCATCAAACAATTGTGGAGCGCGGCTTTGAGCAACAACCAAGATAAGGCCTTCATTTTCCCTATTTTACTATCTAACATTTTTGAGCATTTTGGTGTTAGCTTTAGAGGGGAAGAAGAACGGGAGACACACGCCGTGCTTGATGATAGTGTCATGATACACCTTCGCTATTTCCAACCGCCGCACGGAGGACCATGGAGGTGCGTGGAGAGATTCCATAGAGTCGTGCCCGAAGAAAATGAGGATGAGATGATGGAAGGTGGAGAGCCTGAGGGAGGCCATGAGGAGCACCATGAGGAGGAGGCTCACGTACCTCAAGCCGGAACTCATTACGACATGGACTATTTGACCGAACAATTCGGTCAAATTCATACGGAGCTTGCGGTTCATCGACGGGATTTGCGGGACCAAAGGCGGGCTATTGAAGGCATGGGGAGTCATCTTTGGAACATGAACTACTATTGCCAAGAGTTAGGGCGGCACTTCAGCATTCCACCACCGCCACCTTATGACCCGCACCTTTATTTCCCTCCCCAAGGAGATGGAAATGAAGGAGATGAGTAAGTTATGAAAAGGGAAGTGTACTAAAAATACTAAACTTGAACCACCTTTTCTTTGTTTTTCTTTAAACTCCTTGTGCTACTTCTGTGCCTATTATGTGTTGTTTGATTGCTTATTTTCTTGTTTTGCATTTAATTACTCTTGTGTTTCACATTGGGACAATGTGGAATAAGTGTGGGGGGGTGACTTTATACTTGAAAAAAAAAATGTGCAAGGTTTTTATTTGGAAAAAATTGTTCATTTTTGGTCCATATTTTTTGAAAAATATTTTAGCAAAACCCTTGTCCTTCAAACCCTTTTTCAAAAGAAACTTTTCTTAAGGTTTTGCCTTAATATTTTCATAAAAAGTTTTGAAATTTGCTTGAGGAGAAGCAAAGCTCAAGTGTGGGGGTATTTGATAAGCGTTTTATTAACGTATTTTATATATTCATCTTAAAACGCTTTTATATTTAAAAAGAATAAATCTTCACACATATGCCTCGTTTTGCTAGAAGTTCTTTAAATCAACAAATGGATCAAATGCAAGGATGGTAGAATACACACGAAGAAACCGACGGAAAAAGGTCAACCAAACGCATCCCGAGGAACAAATAAAGACCACAAAAAGGCCCAAGACAGATGAAAACCGCCCGGTTTGTGCCAACGGCGGCCGGCCTTTGGTCCCCAAGCTTATTTTCGCATCCAAAGCTGAAAAATCTGATCCGGAGCAAGAAAGGACGAAAGCCGCCCGGCTTTCGTGAACACCGGCCGACTTTTGGTCGCCGAAGGAATTGTTCAGAATTTAATTACAAAAGCCGCCCGGCTTTTGTAAATGGCGGCCGGTTTTCGACCCCTGGAGCGGAGGAGCAGCATTTTAAACGCGCAAAAGCCGCCCGGCTTTTGCGAAAGTCGCCCGCCTTTCGTCTGGAATTGATTAAAACAAGCAACGGTCATCACAATCATTCGAGAGAAGCTCCAAATCCAATTAAGGAGCTTGCTTCCTTGTCTAAAAATGGCCATTGAAGACCCAATATTTAAGCATATGGAAGCCCTCTCAAGTGATTATTCCATATTCCATACACTTTACTTCCATTTTAGCACTCCAAGATCAACCCCTTGGTCTTGGGAGAAGTTCTACACTTGGGGATCCCATTATCCACCATAGCTTTGGAGTTGTGGTATTATCTTCTTATGTATTTCATTGTATTTCATCAATTCAATACTTGTAATTTCATTATGAGTTGCTCTAGCTAATTTTCCATAGCCAAGGTTAGGGATGAAACTTTACGCACTCTAGGTGTTTGATGTATGTTCTCAACCAAATTATTATGATCTCTCCTTTATATTTTAATGTGTATGACTACGGTGTACAACGTATGATTATATCGTTGGGTTTATTTGAGCAATTAACGTTGAGTTATAAACCGTGCACTTAAAGGCTAGACATATTCTAATTGTGGATAGAAATATACCTCAATTGAATATGGTGGTTGTAATAATGTCCTAATCTTCAATGGGGTTAATTTTAGATGAATGTGAACCGTGACGGGATTCACACGTAGAATTAATCACAATCTCGCTGCCGTAACAGGAGTTAGAATACTTTAGCGACATTCCACTCATAAGAATTGGTGAAAGAATATACATTAATCGCTAGGAGTCGTTTAGGAGTAATCCCGAACCCTTGGTTGCTTTTATTATCACTTGAAAACCCAAAAAACTTTACTCTTTTACCAAGTCTTTTACAAATTATATTCTCAATTTTTGAATCATATAAACAACGTTTCCTCGTGTTCGACTCGGTATTTTTACCGGATTTTATTACTACATCGGCACTTGTACACTTGCAAGTTTAAGCCGATCAAATTCTCTCTAAGTTAAACTCACATCTTCATAAAAAAAGGATGATGTGCGAGTTGTGTGGCTCCCATGTGTATTATTGCTAGCTAGTGTGTATAAGTTTATACTTGTTAAATGTTGCACACTGGAAAAGTTTGGATAAACAAATGCTATATTAACACACGGGCTACTCCTCCTATTAGGTTGACCTTTTAGGATGGAACCCCGAGTCTTAACATGATATCAGAGCCAAATCGATCCATGGTGTGGGCCCCTTATGAAAAATCGATTATTAAAAAATGACAATTAGGGCCGGATGAAAAAAACGGACCGATGGAAAAAATGAATGATGACACGATCCAGACGAAGTGTCTGGTCGTGAGGAGGGGTGTTAAATGTCCCACACCAGAAAAGTTTGGATGAACAATATGCTATAATAACACATGGGCTACTCCTCCTGTCAGGTTGACCTTTTAGGGTAGAACCTCGAGTCTTAACAATACTATAAAACATTAGATTTATGAAAACCTTAATTTGAGATGCCAGTTTGAAAAAATATCATAAACCCAGTAGGGTATTCTAAATTTCACTCTTAGGATGCTTGTTTTGGTTGTCATGCATTTAATTTTAATATTTGATAATTGTTTATTTTGTATTGTAACATTATAAAAACACAGGGTTTCGGAAAGGTGGTTTTCTCTTTTGCATTTAAACTATTGTTGATCTTATATGCATTTATTCAATTAATCACTTCATGTTTCTACTTTTTCGTAAAGTACGAGTATATTACGTTTTATTCCGCTTTTCTTGTAAAGTACGGGGAGAAAACATTTTTTACCCTTTTAAACGGGCCAACCTTATTTTTCGTTTTAAACATGATTTTTCTTAAAAAAGTTTAAAATGACAAAAAAAGCTAACTAGGATTGAGTGATAAATATGATGTGACTAGTCATGGTGGCAGATATTTTAATTGCAAAGTCACCAAACGGGTTGGCGGCTTTATAAGTCGCTACTAAATTTGGCAATTTTCATTAACCACGGTTCAATCCAGGAATACTTAAGTAAATATTTTTATCTTGGTCTCATTTTCATAAATAATTATGTAGCCTCATTTGATTCAGGAAATATAAACTCTCACGACCAAGGTGTGCTATCTAGAGCAATCCTTCTCTCATCTAGAAATGACTTACAACCTAAAAACAATTCCATCACACACGACAAATCGTGTATTTCATTCCAACTCTTTTGGGGACCTATCAAGATGCTTCCTTGTTACGTAGTATGTTTTATAATAATTTAATCATACACACAACACCTTGAAATTAATAAATTTAAGAAATTTGATCACATAATCATCATAATTTCCAAAATTTAATGTGACCAAAGGAGTAGAAACTAACAAAGTTAAATAAATTGATTAAATGCATATCAAATATTAAGAGATCATTAAATAACACTGAAACTAATTAAATCGACTAAATCTATTGGAATTAGTAAAATTCATTATAGAACTACTCAATTGACTAAACATGATAAGTTATGAATAAATTATCTATCAATTTGTCACAAATTACACACACATAGAGAGAGAGAGTAGTGATCTTGTCAGGCTGGGCTGACAGGACTTGCCGTTCGACCGAGGACTTTAGGGCCCTTCGCGGTGAAATTTTTTGATGATTTTTTAGCACGTTTATCATCAAGTCTAGTTTATGCTCACCAAATTTGAGCTTAAAATTCAATCGGATGGTAGTCAAATAAATTGTTGAAAAAACTGTGATGTTTATATAGACAATGGTCGAGGTGATTGGTATAGACAATGGCTGTATTTATGTATTATGGACTAGATTTGATTCAAAAGCGCATATGGGGGCATGAGCTTGGGGCGTTGTGTGTCTAAGAGTAGGTAGGTCGTAGATTTTAGCACATATACTCCATCGGATACCTAAGCGCAAAGTTTTTATTTTGGAAAACACGAAAAAAATGATTTCTCCAACTTAAGAAAAAAATCATAAAACATGTATCTGCTTTTTAATTTTGGAGATTCAGCAGGTAAACACGTGTTCTAATTTTCCATAATCCAGTTATCCAATTTTCTAGAAAAATAGAAAATATTCTAATTGGTAAAAAGACCCTTACTTTCTTCAATAGTGCTTGGTGTACACCCTAGGTTACACCATATTTATTTGACCTTCGTACAGACAAAAAATACAAATACAACACTTCGATAAAATTTGTTTGTGTAAACAAAATTTGGTTTGCAGATTGATTAACGTACCTTTTTGCAGATTTGTCAGGTTGGTTGCACGGAAATTAATGGAGAGAATGACGAGGGTAGCTTTTTGAAAAACCATTCCAAAAAGTGTAAAAAATTTGTACATGGCAATAAGTTGTGGGACCTTCAACAAAAAATTCCTTAATTTTTAAAACCATTATAACTTTTGCATTTGTTTTTCATTTTTACAAAAAAATACCGAAATTCATAACTTTTTGTAATCTTTCATATTGCACCAATATCACACATATAAAGTTTTTTTAAAAAGTTCGAAATGCGGGAGATTTATGTCCGAAAAAATTTCTTAAACAGATCCAAGTAAAAAAAATCAGATCACATGGTTGTTTTTGCACTTACACCCAGAACAATTTTTGTAAATTAAATCCTTACGATTATTATTATAATCAAATTTTTTCAAATACTTTTTACGAATAATTATGATTTAAAAACTCAAACATTCTCAATGTAAAT